CAAAAACCAAACACATTGGGCGCCACTCTACTCAGAGCGTTTCGTCGCCGCCCGTGAGGCCAAACTACAGCGCCAGCTTCACAAGCTTGTGACATGGCAAGAGAAGTTGGGAGCTTTGGTCTTTAAGTTTCGGATATGTTTATTTTCAACCTTTGCTTGGGAGATCTTGGGAGGATTGAACCCACTAACTCGATCCATAATATATATAGATCATGATATTTTGTTGTTTGCCAGTTGGAATCACCAACCAGATGCCTTCGCTTTCATGTGCGAGATCCAAACGACGTGTACCAAAGCCAACTTGTGCTTCGTCCTAGAGGAGCCCTTCCACATGAAGTGGGGCTGGTAGATATTGACGACCAGGAAGCCATTTGGACACTGCATAAACATGCATAAACCAACACATGCATTGACGAACATCCTAGAATCGCTCCTGTAGCGGATATGTTCCGAGTCTCGCGCAGGTGAATACTTTGGGGCCTCGTTTGGGAGATTTGTACTACGACAACAAGGTGGATGCTTGACTTGACATGCAACATGTATATTTTTGGGGTTCGTCCTATTCTACCTGCAATAGTCAGTCCAATTTTCAGAAACGACTATTTTTGAACAAAGCCTTTACTAACTATCATCATCCACCGTTACTGCTACAGTATTAGGATAGACCACAGATAGACCCAATATATTTTGGTATGTTGGCTCGCCTCGGAAAGTGCGCGACTCAGCACCTGAAGCCTTGTTTCATAGAAGATGGGCACAGGAAGTGCCATTGAACTCCCATCCAGTGCCCCCAGTCATAGCTCCCTGTTTCAGGGCCAAGTGGGGGGCTGCTTTCTCCACCAAGTTCGCCTGTCATGCCGACAGAGCAGTTAAGCTTAGCAAAAATGGCCTCGGGCATTTGGCCACCCGGTCCTGGTTGGCCACTTCCAGCTTCGGTGGGTCTGAACTTCGCTCGCCGCGCGTCTCGCGGGCTGCGCATAGCGGGGATTTTCTTCTTCATCTGGTTTGGTGGCGATGGGATCGGCTGGGCCATTGACCCTTCATGGGAATGGATTGACCATCCATTTGGCTCCAGGTCAATCACCCCAATGGCTCTCGGTCAAGATGGGTGTGTATATAAAGAAATGTCGGATTTGTTAAAAGACTCATGGGTAGATTGGTGTATTTTCATGTATTTTCCTTCACTTTCCAGGGGACGGTCTTTCACTGGTTAGCTCGTCTTCCTAGTGATGAGCTACACACCCCTTCCTTCCTGCACGAACTGGATGGGCTCAGGAGTGGACGAAGCACATGACCAGCTTCGGGAAGGACGAGGGCAGCCGCAGTCCGAAGGCCACCGCAGTCCGAAGCGAGCTTTTCAGGTGAGAATGTGTGGCTTGGGCAGTGGCTAGACGAGGATTACTTCGTGTTGTTTGGTTGCTTGTTTGGTTTTTGTTTGTTGACTTTCGTTTTGTATCTGTCGAAAAAAGCCGTGTGAGATCCAGACGCCGGAGCTTCTCCGGGGAACCCGAGCATCTTCGCACCGCCGATGTGAATATCTTCCAACGGTTGAATGAACCAGACTATCGCATAGGTCATAGGTACCCCAGGTTACGGGTCCTATTTACGGTCACTGGCTACCTCTCTTGGTTTGAGGGCAAAATAGCAATCTTTTGACATCCTTGCGCGATAGATGTGTTTTGTCCTTACGTCGAGGACCACCACTGGTATACTTGACCCTTTCCTTGTCGAAAATGTACAGGAGACTCACAGCCCAATGGGACTTCAATTCAAAAGGTCACCATGACCATGCGTCATGCTGTAGCTGTCAGGCAAAACATGTTTTGATGCGATTTGATATGAAGGTTGTCCGTAACATGTCAGACGAGTCATTATTCCTACCTGTGAGCACAATGGGACATTCCAGAAAACCTTTCGGAAGAAAACAACATAGATAGTTCATGTTGATGCGCTGTGTTGTTCTTTGTTTGTCAGCGGGTGCTTGTGTGAATTCAATTGCATGACATTCTTTGAAAGGCTTCTCGAATGGTGAATTAGTTCTTCAACATTGTAGTAGTAACTATAAATCACACAGTATATTATGTAAGCCCGCTGTTGCTTGTAGGCAATTGTCTTAGACATTTCACACACGTCTCGAGATCATGTCCCTCGTGGGTAAACACATCACCTGCTGTCAAGGTGTTTTTGGGGATTTTGAGGTGGGGACCAGGGGGCCAGACGAGTAAGGAACCAGGGCCAGGGTTTTGTTCAGTCTACGGTCTCTAGTCTTTGGAGCCACTGTTTTGCCTGCTTTGGAACCACTGGGTTCTTGATGCCAAAGAGGGTCATGTTCAAGTGCCTGGCTGTGGCCGGACGTGTTGATCAAGAGTATGCCCCGGGAAAGTCAGTTGATGTGTGACTGTTCGGATCGTTGGGGTATTGTAATTATGCCTACATCGCTGCTGTTGTTCACCTCGCAAACCGCTGCGGTTCACCAGGCGCGCCCCCCCAAAGTGAGCGGAGAGACAAAAAGAAAACGCTTTTCTAGGAAAGCGCTGGCCCAAGTCCAATCGCAGCAGAGGCGGATTTGTTTGTCTAGCATTGTCTAGCGTTTTGCTCAGGAAGCAACGACGGCAATAGGGTCGCTACGGGGCTATCCATTTCTTCCCCATGAAGCAGGGAGCCATAACTTGAAGCGACCACAGTTTTTTTTGTTTAAATATTCGTCAACTATATGAGTATATGTGTGAATTCTTGATTAACAAAACTCTCCCATTTGGATTGAACTATCTCTTCAGGCCTTCTTTTGATCAAGAGTCTACATTGCAGTGACTACCTCCTGATTTGCTGCAAGTCAACTTATTGATCATTGCTCCAGGGAGCTGCATACAGGTCCTTCAACTGAAGCACTATACTTCTTTTCCTGAGATAGTTACTTGAGTTTTTTCTATGGTTTTCTACCCCCTTGGTTTCTGGTGATTGCCCCTTCTCATATGCTGGGAAGCTGCTTTGCAAGTGTTTCATTTGCTGCCAAGTCGAGCAAAGTTCTACCTGTTCTGGTAAGGCAAGTAGCATCCGGAGGCTCACTGTTGCGTTGACCACGGGCCAGCGAAACAAAGAGAATGCCAACGGCAGCAGGGTGGAAAGTCTCAGCCAGGAACATGTTTCGACAAGGTAGGGGGGAACACATACGAACCTCCACGCACAGCGTGAGCCGAAGGAAGACTGACTAATGAACCTGGTAATTTCCATGTGCCTTTCTTTTGGTGTGTATGGGTGGTCGGCGTAAGGGTGTTTGAACAGACCCCAGCAACAAGGTTTAGATTAGAATTCGGCGCGGGCGCACACACAGTTACACGCTGATTTGGACAGTCAGCATGCAAATCAGTTTGTATATAATTGGTTGCCACACGCCCACCCCTAAAACATAGTTTCAAGTTTCAACTATACATATTGGAGCTGGCAGGGGAATATAGATGTCCCCATTTGTGAGATAATTTCTTGTGAGATAATATGTTTTGGCAGGGTGGCTTCAGTGGTTCCACGGTTTTCCTGGTTTCACATCGAAACGCCGTCATCGACTTGAATGGGTTCGGTTTCGCGGAGGGGTGTTGACGTGTTCAACACCGCCATCCCAGACCTTTCCATTCAGCCAAGGGGAACATCCCCACAGCGAGTCGCCGCAGTATAGCATAGTATAGTATAGATAGTATAGCTCGCCCCGACTGTGACTTTTACTTTTTGGCAGAAATCCGCGCAGCCGTAGCCAAACCGAGCAAACTCGCCGTTCGAACAGCATGGGGGCAGCCAATCCGGACCGAGAAGGAGTCACAGTCGGCGTCCCCAAAGCAGTCAGATACTGCATGAAGCAGTCAGACAAGTGACAGCTCAGTGCTCACTTTGGCGAAAAAGTGCAATTCTGCCGATGGAAGTGCCCCTCGCTCCACAGATTCTCAGGTTTGAAGGTTCCAGCCTGACCTTTTGGACCTTCTCCCAGTTTGAAGCCGGGGCCTGGTCTTGAACCTTGCTAGCCTTTGTAGGTGTTCGAAACACCACCCAAGCTCCGCCCGAAACGCATGGAAGGAGCCTGCTTGCGGAAGAACAGCCATGAAAGATCTGAGGTGCAAAGTTCACCAATCCCAGACACTCCATGTATGCCATATATCCATATATGCCTACATTGGGGTGGTTTCAGGGGTCAATGTAGGCATATAATGCGCATATATGGCATTCATGGAGTGTTTGGGAATGTTTAGCTGGCGGTCTCAGACTACGGACCATCTTCAAAAGGATACAAAAGGCTCACCAATGTTTTGACATATATGGACTATATTATATTGTATAGCGAAAGGCTTCACGTGGAGTCGGCCATGATTCTGGATTGTCCCGGTCAACACTGTGGTCAATCAGCAAAAGATGATCAATCCTTAGGGCTCCGATCGTCCCATATCCTCAGGTTCGGTGGTTAGACCCCCCTGGCACCCACCCCAACCACCGTACCTCAGGAGGTGGGCCAGGAGCCCTTAGGGAATAATGATCACCGTGTTTTTTTTTCAGAAAAGGCCGCCGCCAGGAGTCACATGTCGGGGTGCTGTGGCGCGTCCCATCCAGTGGATCATAGACACCCCGACTTCCTCCAAGTTCGCAGCCCTGGGTGACGGCAGCCCTAGTTGCTCCGGCCCGGGGGGGGTGTCTGATCCCGGAAACGGAGCCCAGGGGGTTCAGCTAGGCTGGTCTTCGCTGGTGGAACATGGTGAAACTACTGCCTACCTGCAGTGATTACTGGATCCACTGGGGGCTCAGGTCCATGTACCACCCCCTTGGTCGGTCCTGGTCAGGCGATCCCGTTGTGGTGTGACCATGGCGGAACCTGCCCTTCTCTAGCGCGGAAGAGATGCGTGGAGATGTCACCACTTTAGAAACCTAGGTCCCAAATTGGTTCCCACCTTCTCTACCTCATAGTTTGGTTTATCGTGTTTGACTCATTGACACCCATTTGACAGCGTTCTTTGCGTGGTTCCAGGCGCTATGATACGGAAGGATGTCCTCTACGGCGGTTTTGCAGTGATTTGCCTGTCCCTGGGCTCTCCACAGAGTCCGCCCACACGGTTGGATGAGCTTTCAGTGCTGCCGTCGAGACATGTTTCAAGCAAATCCAAGCAAAGAGGGTATTTTCTCAGCAGGGTATTGGTCATGGTCAGCAGGGTATTTTCTCAGCAGCGGTATTTTCTCCGACGTGGAGGGAGAATCGAAGTAGTCTCAGATGCCGGGGGTGGACACACAGAGTTGGAAGTACCCTATAGGGCTCCAACCACCTCCTGAGAAGGTGGTTGGGGTGGTGGGGGGTCTAACCACCTTCTGAGGATATGGTTGGAGCCCTAGGGGTAGTCTGTTATGGGGAAAAGAAAAAGTGTAGTGTGACATGCTCTCTTTGAGGGGATCAAAGGCTCTTCTCCCAGAGCAGTCTCGCTGGGAGATGTCGGTGGTCAATACGAGCACCCTGCAATGCCCTACAACGGAGGTGTCCTTTCAAGGTTTGAAGAAGGAATTGCACCCTGAAAAAGAACAATGATAATAATGGAAGTGGAGTTCACCACATGGTTGTGTGATTCTTTCCGGAAAATGCTTATTTGACATCGGGTCCATGGCATCCACATAGCTATCATGATTCCAAGTGTATCTTCTGGAGCTCGCCAGTGGTGAGTGAGTGAGTCTCATGGAGACACTATATAGGATCCAAGCTGACAGTGGCCTGACAGTCACGTCCGGGTTTTCAATCTCTTCCCGTCCGTGCGAGATTTGAGGCTCGTGTACTACAAGCTCGAGGCACTGGCGAAAACACGTAGCTTTGGGCGGCCAAACAGGCCACCAAAAATCCAGCTTAAGTGAGATGGGTGGTGCACAAATGGGAGGGATCCACTTTCAGGAACCCGAGTTTTCAGTCGCTGGATGCCATGGGAACATATGACCAAGAGTGTTTGTGTTCTCCTTTACACTACCCAGATCTTGAAACGAGACATGACTATGAACTACGGCTTCAGCCAGTTCGAACATGTATATATAGAACTCGGAATGTCCAGAGGCAGCTGTGCTCGATGATGTTGGGCCCGTGTTTCTCAGGCAGCGCTCTAAAAGGATTCCTGTGGCCTTCCGCCACAGGTCCGCGATCCGGTGCCACTGGTCACCCCCCTGTCACCCCCAGACAAACGAGCGAAGCAACGGGGAGCGACTCGTTGTTGGCACTAGGCAAAGGCGGCGGATCCCCGTGAGTTCCAGACGTCCGTCGAAGCGAGGTCGTGAAAAACACTACTACCAGGACCCTCCTGGCCAGGCTGTTTGGAGACCCTAACAGGTGGTTTCTGGGCACCTGTTGTCACCAGGAAGCACCTGTTGGAGGGTGCTGGTAGAAGCTTCTTGTTACGTTCGTAGCGTCCGAATGCTCCGATGCCAGGAGGTCCTAGAAGGCTTTCCCCCCATGTTTTGATGATTTTGTTCTTGACCAGGCACCAGCAAATGCCGCGTATGCTTCTTGGCAGACAGCTAGGGCGAGGTCGCGGCCGGCGGTCTTCCGGAAACATTAAAAGGACTGTAGAATGGAGAACATCAAATTGAGGAATCAGGACAATCACAACACCCCTAATTACACATCCAAATGTCAATTGTGGCACTGGGAACCTAAATGCCTTCAACATCCTTCAACTGTCTCAATAAAATTGATGAGTTGGAGGACCTCTACAATACCCATCTATACCCTTTATATATACTGTAAATATACATACACAAAACAGTGAACACAAACAACACGCCAACAGGCTTCTATTGGCTAAACTAGCCATTGCATATTTGCCAAGCCGCCTGTCTTGCTGTGCGCCACGGGCTTGGCATCCTGAGCTTGAGGTGTTCACACGCCAAGCCACCCAACCATTCACGAAGTCTGGAAACCCACCCATTCTACCACATCCCAGGGGCCCCACAAACCCATCAAAAACCTGGTTTTCCCTTGCAAAATAACACGTTTTTGTATGTGAAAACCTTTTGTTTTTCATGGTTTTGAGGGGGTCCTGGTCTGCATACAGAACTCCCGTCCATGTGTTTCTACCACCCGTCTCACCCACCGGAGCGATCCGCGGCACCCAAGGACTATTGGCTCACCCTGGCCGCGGGTTTGCAAGTCATGGGCTTTGCAATGCTGGCCATGGACACGACCAGCAGCGCGGCCGAGGCGAGGGCAAGAGGGAAGGGCAGGGGCAGTGGGGCCGAGGGAAGGGCAGTGGAAGGTGAAGAGCTCTTTGATTCCAGATCCTCCGAGCTGAGCGAAGATGTGGCTCAGGGCGGCAGGAGACGGGTTTTGCGGATGTTATTTTTTCCACATCTCCGCCTATTGTTGCACCATCTCGCAGCCTGACCGCTGCAGACTCATCCAAAGGGCGCGGGTTTCCCGCCCTGGCGGGTTTGGTTGACTGAATTGATCCATACAACCTGGAGGCCAAAGCTCTCATCGAGGTAGCAGTATTAATCCTCACATCTGGGACTGGACGGTTTTGATTCAGTGCAATCGCACTTTTGACTGGGGACTGCATAGATATATAATGATATATATATATTTATAATATATAACGACAGTACAGTATATATAACATATATAGGACTATACAGGTTTCCGGTTGATAATGTTACCCAGCACTGGATCATCACTGGACCCCCGGCTCAGTTTTCCGAAGCAAACGGCCCGGCGGCCCGGCGGCCCTGGCAACGTTGGTCTTCCGCCGGTGGGATCGTTGGTCCTTCGTCCTCGTGTCGACCCTCGACCAGGGCTTGAGTGAGAAAAGCCTTTGGGTCAGCGGCCCAGTGAGAGCTGAAGGTGCAGATGGAGAGCTGACATGGAAGCTCTGACATGACGGACTGGAAGACATACTCCATCTTGATCCATGAGTTGGGGGTGGTTGAAAAGGGGTCCATGTAGGTCAAACATTGGTTCCAATCCCAGACAGGTTGTGTTTGGGATCCAAAACCCATCGATGAATGGACAAAGAACACCCCTGTGGGTACATATAGGTCTTTTTGACTCCCCAAGTTTTGATCCCTTCCGCTTTTTGTGACGACCTTTCAAACGGCATGTGTTGTTCCTCCCAGGCCTTCATTATCGCCCATGTGACACGGATCTCAACGACCGTGTGGGGCGAAGGCTACATTCCCGAGGCGCAGGGCAGGGTCTCCAACACAGGTCGCCAACATGAATTGGTTTAAGGGGAAATCTGCAGGAAACCCATGTTTTCACCCCCCAAACGATGGCTTTCCTGTAGATTTTTCCCGATCCAACCACTTTGAGATCGCCTCCACGGCTGTCTCGGTCACGCTATGCGAAGTAGCGACCGGGGAGCCCCGGTGGACCATGGAAAACGACATGAATAGAATAGACGACCAAGGAGATCAACCGAGGGTGAGCGAGTTCCGGGCTCCGGGCTGCCATGACCCACAGCCATCTCGAAGAGGTTTCGGGCTCAAGACCTGGAGAGGTCAGACCCTCTCTTTGTGAAGTAGTGGCGAGACAGGTCCATGAGGGTCTAACCTGCAAGGCTTTGGCTCACAGCTTTTCCATAGGCCACAGCATGTCAACGACGTCAAGGTGGACTTCTTCCCCCCCCACTCACACTTACTAAACTCATGGGTGTGTATTAATAGTTAAAATGGGGAGACCTCCAAAAGACCTCCCGGAAGAAGGGACATAGACCGGTCTACCCATTGGTGAGGGGTCTCCCGGTCTCCCTATTAATAAAAATACAGATCCTCCTGGAAGTTCTTACTCCACTGGATTGAAGGGATCCCTTTCATGCTCCGACAGGATAACACCGGCGACGTGTTCCTCTATCAAGGTCTCGAGGTCTTGGGCGTTGCCATTGTGGTCTTCCAGGACTGCAGACTGTGCGGGAGAAGGGCAACAATCAGCCTCAGGTCCCACCCATGAATCCGCCCAAAAAGAAGGGATTGTCACAGGGTCCCTGCACATCCCTACACAAGGTCTGTATACACTGCACAGGTCCCTACCGAGGACCCCACAGGACCCTCTACACAGGGATGTGCCTCGTGATTTTTGCATGTGCACAGTGCCGCGTGTCGAGGCAAACACACGCACTTCCCGACCGACGTTGATCAAGCATCAGGAGTAACAATCTTCTTGCACCAAGTGTTGTTTCACAGGTGGCTTTGGTGGTGCCTCATTCTTAAAGATCGTGTGAACCATCAAAGAACGCTGAAACAACTGGACACCATGCTACCAAACTCAACGCATCGCTCAGTTTCCCAGGTGTTGTAGTGTAATCACTTTCCCGCACACCGGCACCTTTTGCACGCTCTTCTTTACGGGTTCTTTTGCAGACGGTTGATTCATGACCCCCCAGGAGATTAAGAGGTTTGACAATCCAAATGGAGGGGTTATTAATCAAGAGTCTACAGTCTACATTAACATTAGTCATTAGTGCTGTGCCCCCAATACAGAAAAGAAGAGTTGAGTTGAGTTGAAACATGTAAAAAGAATTGCTTGTACCGTCAACAGTCGGCTTTGGAAGACTCCATGTGACGTGTATCATCCCAAATTCTTTTTGGGTTCTGGGTGCAACTCCCGATTCGGCGGTGCTTTCCTGCTTGACCGTTCGGTTCCCCGTTCGCTGGACCGGCAGGTGATGCGCCTCTCAGCAGTGCGAAGCACCCAGGATGTAGGGCAAGGAATCGAGCGGTGCCTGGGCGAAGGAGCACATAGAGTCGAGTCTGTCCGATGACGTGACGTGTAACAGTCAGTAAACAATGATCATAATTTCTGAACAAGGCCTTTACTAATACTAACCATTATCATCCACTGTTACAGGTAATAGGATAGACCCAATACATGGAGCCTATAGTTTCTTTGGCGCCTGGAAAGATAAGGGAGATGAGCACTGTGAGAAGAGTGAAAGGTCAGAAGCATTGAGTGATTCAAGGGCATACGATGCTTGATGGATGGGAGGATTTGGTCCATGAATGGTAGAAACTGGGCCTGTGATTTGTTCACTTCTTTGGCAGCTTGAGGGGGGCGGAAGATGGAAACCCAAGTCTCTTCATCCTGAAGACAGCAGAGGAAGAGACTGACCCTCCGCGACTTCTCCGATTCGACTGGGCCACGGGTAGGACTGGGCCACGCACATTTCTCCAATGTGCAGGACGCGCCATGCGTTCTTGCGGTGCTACCGTGATTTCGCGCTTTAGGATTAGGTCCGGCAAAAGGCCGGGTTCCCCCCGCAAAACACGCAGCAAAGAACAACCAATTGGGTCGTTGCCTGGGAGGGAGGTCTCCCTATTTGAGCTACACACCCAATTATTGGCCATCAACTGAGGTGGAGCCAGGTCATTGGTATGTGCAGCTTGGTCCGGACCGGAGGATGGAATGATTTACAGTATTTATATTTGTTTCCTCGCAGTGTATATATCATATAACATATCATCATACGATATCATATGCATTCATTATAGACATGAACATATCAACAGAGACTTCCCTCTAAACACTGTTAAATGTATCATGGTACGATGGTAGATCTTTGGGCGGCTACCATTGAAGATAGCCCTGAACAGCCAGCGCTGCAAGATTTGGGCATTCTTCTAGACGTCAGACGATCTGTTTGCGAAACTCCCAGAAGGTTAGGAGTAGTGTAGCTGTTTAAGGTGCAAAGAAACGGGACCCGGCCCGGCACTTTTTTTGACCTTCGACATGCGTCATCATGATGGCTTATGTTATGTGTTGTGATCGTGATATGTTATACATTATATGTTCAAGGCAGGGCCAGACATTCGTTGTGTTTGCTGCAGAGCTGATACTCATGGGTGTGGGCCTGGGCTCCGACGTACGCAGGCTCATGCCAGCCGATTGTGCTGATCCAAAACCAGTTCTTACCAGTTGTCGACCTTAAAAGGCCCCCCCTAAACTAAAAGGTGGTTTCTGGGTACCTGTTGGTCACCAGGGAGGGGGGAGAAAAACCTCCTTGCAGGATCCAGGGCGCCCTGGTCGATGTTTGGTCGATTGAGTCGATTCGATCACAGGCGCTGTCCACTGAGGCGGCATCTCTGCAATCTTGGCGCCACTTGTTTTGCAAAATCTAACAATGGCCGCTGGAAATGGGCCCCAAAAGGGTGGAGAACTTGAGAAGCACGGTTGGCTCAGCATGTTGTGCAGGACAGTTTCCACGATACACTGGCTGCCAAACTTTCAGAGGCTAGAGCCTGAACCAAACCCAAAGCAGGAGAAAATAAGCACAGCTCAAGAAAAACACAATCGGAGACACGAGTACACAGTGTACAGACTATATTGTAGAGGTTGCCCTTGTACAGAGAACACCACTTCTTGGGTGCGCAAACGGAGAGTGTCAAAAAACGCATTTCGCTTGTCTTCGTGGTGCTGAAACCAGAAGCCGTTTTCATTGAGCGTTTGGGTGGGGGGTTTGGCCATGCGCCGGAGGAAGAGTGGCATGTGGTCTCGTTTTTAAGGGCTCAAAAGACTCACCGACTGGTTCAAAATCAGATACAAAAGCCCAAATCAATTGGTCCGGATTGGTCGTAGACGGGTCTTCATCCGACAGTACCTGAGGTACTTCACCAAGAGCACCGGCCACGATGACTACTGGGCTGATTTGAGCTGCCCGATCGGGGTGGGAGTTGAAGCCGGGGGTAGTGGGGAATGATGGCTTTCATCGGATCTATGGTAATCTATACTCCTTTAATAGGACCCAAACATACGGTTCACCTGCTACATCCTGCTTCAATTTGTTAAGGGAAAAATTCCTCCTTGAACATGAAGCTCCAAACCTTTGCCTCGGACGGCTTGATTGCAAGCGGGGGCAGCTTGCAAGCCTCTCGCGCGTTCGAAGGACACGAGAGTCCTGAGCACACGAATGGAGTTACCATCCGACCGCTTGTTCTTCTTTCAAAGGCGTATATCAACCTCGTGATCCTCATGTGTCTCGTGTTTGAATCATCCAGCCGGCCCACTTTATCAATGTTAGCCGGGTCAAATGGCTCGGCAAATGTGCGATGGGGTAGGTTGTTTGGTGCAGCCCTTCTTGATCGGGAGCAAGATGACACTGTGATCCCAGTTGAGGGCTGCCATATGCTGTCACGACAGTCCGAGTTGTTCTGGTCTTGCTGCCAAGGCTGGATGTTCTCTACCTGGCTCGAAGCCTTTGCGCTGGCGCCGCAGGCGCTGGCGCTGACCTGCGCATAGCTGTTGGGCGGATGCCAGGTGTCGGCACAGGTGTTGACTAATGTAGACTCTTGATTAACCAACCCCCCATAATTATGAAGCGGATGTCCAATTCAATTTGGGGGGGTTCATGAATCAAGAGTCTACCCTCCCCTGGCGGCCAGGCCATCACGGAGCTTCGCATTTTCCTCCACGCCAGGGCGGGTAGAGGAGCTTATGGATCTTCAAGGGGCCATCGATTTCCATCGGTTCAGGTCGTGTAGGCCACCGTTCGACCTCAATAGCCAGGGCAGAACTGACGTTGCCAGGGCACAAGGGCCTTTTCAGGCCCTGCTAAAAAGCATCCCCCTAGAATCCCCTAGACAATCCCAGATGTTTGAGTTTTGTTGCGTAGAAACCAGTTCGCGCATGATTGTGTGGGCATGAATTGAAAGTAGCACACTCACTGCAAAGTATTGTAGTGTTCTACATCCATAGGATTCCATGTCTATCAATTGCATCCCCCAGCCGTTCCATTTTTCCCAATCTAGCAACAACTCGTGCGATTGTGATTTGGGATCCAGCTGGTGGCACGTGCTGAAGCCTTGGTCAGATGTAGCCTGTGTAAGATGCAGTCGAGGCGTCATGGTGAATATAAAGAAGGAACCCCAAACAACCGGAAACAAATGGTTGTTCCAATATGGCAGTTGAGGACATAGCCATTTCTTTCTGGTTGTTTGGGGTTCCAGAAAAGTCTTGTGATGTTCGGTTCATTTTTGTTTTCTCCGTTCCTCCGGGTTGCGGAGATCACTTGATCGAGTCATGTTGGGCATTGGCAGTTGTTCACCCGCACGTTTGGGCAGATGGGACAGGACAGAATTGCTTTTCAACGTCATGTTGTGGTGCTTTATTGCCCAGACACTCCATGGGACTGCCATATATGCCGATCAGTTGGGGTGTTGCCAGAGGGGTCAATGTACGTGTATATATATATGGCAGTCCCATGGGTCGTGTCTGGGTTGGGTAACCTGGTTGCAGTTGCACGGGCTGTTTTTTTGTCCGACAGCCATTGGAGCTTTGATTCACTCGTGGTGATGAGCCCTCGGGATCCTGGTACGACCTTTGTATGCAGAAAAGGGTGCGTCCCATGCGATGTTGAAGCCGAATCCTTGACAGAAACCGAGCAAAACATATTCAACTGCAAGTTCAACTGCATGTTTAAAGACTTTCAACGTGTGGTCCAGGTCTGTTTCTTGTGGGACGTCCGATCGCTCCGTATGTGTTTTTTTCCCCATGGCACTTTAGATACTTTTAGTAAGGTCCAGGATCACATGATGTGATTAGCCTGGATTCGTAAACTTCATTCATACAGTGGGACAAAGGGCACGGAAGCCGGTGACAAATATATTTAAATTTAAGCTTCGCCTTGGTCGAGCTGCCATTCACCAGCACACCTTGGGAGTGGTATGGGAGGGGTGACCGGGTTGGTTAGCATGGGCACGCATCACTCCAAGATGCCCTGATTTGGGGGGCTCCGCACCTCGCAGATCCTCAGAAGGTATTTTGCACCCTCCTGGTACCCACCAACACCTAAATCGAAAGGCAGGTACGACCGGAGCCCCGCACGGAGGGACCAACGACCGGAGCCCTCCCGAACCGCCGGGTCAGCGACGCGGCGCTGCCTTCGACGGCGACCCCGGTCCATGGATAAAGCATGATCAAACGGTTTAAAGGACCTTTGTTGCGGGGGGGCATTGGATTGCCAACCGCGCGTTGGAGGCAGGTGGAAGAGTTCGTTTGCTCGCGTCAATACAGGTGCCGGTGGAAACATGGTTGAAGTTTGGATGTGTTTGGATCGGTTTGGATCGGGCTTCGTTTCGTTTCTTCGTCCGTTTTGGAAGATCGCCCGAGTTGGAAGGTCTACTTGCTGGTGACGGGCGCATGCTACGTGGATGAAAGTGCCGCACACTTCGCCGGCCTCACGTGCCCCGCTCGAGAGGACTGGGGTGGATCGGTGGAAGTGGTCCACGGGGAGCATGAGAGCAAGTTGGTTCCCAAGGCGGATGGGCTCGCGGAATCCCAAGTCATGAGAATAACCTGAGATGGATGAGACATGATGAGACATGATGAGTTCTATTGTGTTGACCTTTGGCAATTGGCAGTTGGCGGGGCACGCCATGTGCTCCACAAGTCTCTTCATCACGAGACAGCTCCAACTTGCTTGCTGGCACAGCGTGACCGAGAAACCTGAGGAACTGGAACATCCCCAGACACGACACATGGGACTGCCATATATATGCCTACATTGGGGTGGTTTGAGTGGTCAATGTAGGTATATATGGCAGTCCCATTAGTCGTGTTTGGGATCATGGGGAAGACTGCAGGGCCTTCCAACCCCAAAACGTGGATCCCACGCAGGGACCCGGCTAAAGTCGGTGGAGGGTCAGGACTGTCTAGGGTGGAGGGTCAGGCTCTTAGACCCTTCGTCCTTTGGTTTAGAAGGTTCAACCCTTAGCAGCTTTGCAAAATGCCAGAATTGGGTTACGGATGGTTAAGGCAAAGTCTACAGGACACCCATAATTTCGGGGGTGAAAACCATGGTTTCCTGTAGATGTTCCCTCAAATTCTGGGACAAAAGCAGTTGTAGATGAAAGCACTTGTATATGGACAGTCAAGCAATGTCCTTCACAGTGCACTTTGAATCACCTTGAGATATTCACTGGAGCAAGCTCCGCTCGACCGGTGGAGCCTGACCGAAGGTTCACCAGTCTTGGGGTCCTGATTTGCGTCTCAACACTCCAAGTTGGAGGCATGGACAGCATAAATTACACTGGCTAGTTTCAATCTAGCATGCCAAGACATAGGGGGTCATCATCATTGGTTACTGTTATAGCATGGATGCATATCATCTCTTACCATCTTCTGTGGGGGGGTGACTCTACCTTCGGTTCGGTTCGACCGGTTCTCGACCTCCGTCCGCTCAGCTTGGGCTCGGCCGTGGTCTTCACAGCCTTCTGGGGACGCGTGACGCGGGACCGTGACTCGAGATGCAATGGAGAAGGTGGGCATGGAAGGTTGGCAGTCCCAACAATGGATTGTAGGGAAGATCTGGGGTCTGTCACGAAGAGCTGGGGTCTGTCACCTGGTAAGCAATTATAATTTTTGAACAAAGCCTGCCATCTAAGCCACTGATACTGGGATAGACCCATTCGGAATATGGGCCCTACAGTGGGCCCTACATGGGCCCTTAAAGCATTTGGACAACCGCCTGAAGGGCTAGGCAAATATTCCACATACCTGGATCTTCAATTTCCGGGTGAGGAAAACATGTTGTTAGTTACGCTGTTTTTTTCCCACAAGCCTTCTTGTGAAAAGGCGGGCATCGGCAAATTTTGTGGGAGCGAGGTGGGGAATTAAAAGAAACGGCGCTTTTAGGCGTCCAAACGGCATCTTTTTCCCGTCTATGGGTTTTGAGCAGATATATGCAACCCTGAAACGGTACTGTATGTTTTTTGAGTCTGATGGTTTGGCCGTTTGAAGATCCAAGTCAAATATATGGATTGTGTGGGCATGGTCATGGTCAAACGTTTCGACTTGGTCAAGAATCGATGTGTCGCCGCCATCGATTCTTGCCCAAATCCCACGAACATCCTCACGAACATCAAGGGAATACAGGGATGATGATTTGTGTCCCTAGCCTTCTAAGACAAGTACCAGAAAAGTTTAATCTGGTAGCGATTGGTAGTGCAAAATCCTCATATTAGATGGTTGTTTGGTAAAGGCTCTATTCGATGGTTGGAACCCTCGGGTTTGGGCAATGGGCTGATCAGTGGGAAGCACTGACTGAGCCTATAGTCATTGGCTGGTCCCTGAGCTTTTGCGAGGCTACAGAGAGTTTGATCAAGATGGTGACCATACGCCTCTTGTCTAACAGGGGCACAGCACGAGCAGAGGAGCCTTGGGTAACGGCTTCCTTTCGAGATGCTTTGGGCCACGAGAGATGGTTTGGGCCATGCAACGTGTTTGTCCTGCATATGATTTTGTCAAGCCTGATGGATACATATGGATACTTGTTTTCCCATGATAGACCCAGCGTATAGTACCCTAGCAATTTGATTACAGAAAAATGCAACAAGAGAAACTCTGCAGGTTCTTTCATGCGATCCTTACTGCTTGCTTCATCAGAGTGGCTCTGCAGGGCGGCCCAGGGCTGTCGGCCGACGGTGTGGAAGGCCGAAGGTCATTGATCAACGCGGTTCACCGAACGCGGTACCGAAGGCGCTCCTGGGCATCGCGAAGCGAACGGAGCAAGGTTCGCTACGAACGGAGCTAAGGGCATCGCATTGAACAAAAAACAGTTAAGTTTTGATGGCAAAAAGTGCCAGAGAGTAGGCTGCACTTTCACTGGGCTACCCATACTGGCTGTGTAAGAGGTGGGTTTAGCATGGTTTAGCGCTCCGCTAGCCGCTAGCCCTTTTAAGAGTCAAATGATGGTGTTTGTGTTCGTGTTTTTCCCACCTAAGAATCGGGAATTCGATCACCTTCGGTCCAAGAAACATAGTCTACAGTTACAGTGTGTAGAAAAAGACAGGTCTCGGTCTCGGTATCTCAGCCCCTTTGACACCCGCAGTCTCGGTGTCCACTTTGGCGTCGTTTCATGCTGAGGTGCACCACCTACGTCTACCTCTTCACGAAGCAGAGACCTGGTCGAACAGTCCGTTCGCGTTTTTTTTGCTTCGCACCGCTTCGGAACGTTTGGAGTTGTCATGTTGTGCGGGACGAATGACATGAGCCCAGGACCAAGAAGAGGCCTGAGTACGAGCTTTGTGCACATGACGAGCTCTGAGCATGGGCTAACAGGTAGTCTTAGGAACGGGCATCTTCCAAGCCGAAGCCGGGAGCACCTGCGCAGAGAACTGATTCGAGAAGCACTGAGTTTGGTGATTCACATGTTTGATGCATTCCTCAGGATGCCGTGCTGGAAGTTTGCCTTCATCATGGGGTGAATTAGCATTGAGTTGGTGCCATATCTGTGGCAACAACCAGCCACAGCTTGGCGATTCTCAGTAGCACAGACAGATGCGCTGCATGCGACTCATCGATCAGACTAGCATTTCGCAGAAGCCCCTCATCGACTTATCGGTTGAAGCGTTCCCTTGACCGGGTCTATACATGTCCATAATATGTCCATACAGTGTTTCACCTTGTCAGGTCTCTCAGAGGAGGTCTCTTCACATCTTGGGGTTCTGTTTATTTTTTCATAAGGGAAGGGTACCAGTTCAATTCTTCACCCTGAACCAGGAATGAGCATTCTTCAAGTCGAGGCATGTAGTTTGCTCGCCCACAGCGTTGGTTCGGGCTCACCCATGTATCAAAGGCTATCAAAGGTACAGCAGTGGTCAAACCATCTCAAGGTTGGGGTTGGGGTCCCCTGATGTACACTTAATAAGAAATGGTCACATGAGAACTGGTGACATGGCCTTGCGAAGGAATCAGATACCCATGTTGTTGTAATCAGGGATGCCCAGGTTGGAGAAGGAACGGCGCATCATGGCACATCAGAATCATCAAGATCCAAGCCACCCGCATCAATGCGTGTGCGGATGCAGGCTACCCAGATTCGGAGTGGAGAAAAAATCCAGACGCGTCATCAGATTGGTGGTGATTCTGTCCGCCATCCAGACCCTCCAACTCAACGAAGTGGAACACCCACCGTTCACTCAAGGAAGGTCCTCCGTTTGGGCCTCGTCCACTTCGGTGCGAAGGGTCGCCGCCGTGCTTCGGTTTGGATCCCGGTGCGTCGGCCGTGGGCCCCAGATAGGATGCAGTTCGAGTGGGCCCCAGTGGGGTACATGCAAAGCTCACAAGGGAAAGCCTGAAGGCATGTCACAATCGGTCCAGAAGGTGCTTCAGTGTGAACAGAGGAAAACATAGAAAAACACATGGTACGTCAACAGGCGACGAAAACGATAGGATCCAGGACAGGTTTGCACCTGAACCGGGAACCATGCAGGAGAAACAGATAGACAAAGCAAGACTCCATATCCACCTTACATGGAATCTCTTGCCAGAGCCTATTGCAACATGTATGACCTTTTTCTTTTTTTGTCACTGCACGACCAACCGACAAACATACAAGCCATGTATGCACAAGTCAGGAGTCAAAATAAAGATGCCATACAGGTCATATTGAAATTCTTATCATTTTTTCACTCCTGACCTTACATGATCTCACATGTTGCAGAGAATCCAGAATCCTCAGCTCTTTTGGCTTAGTGGAGCTTGAAGGACCTCGATGATTTCGAGGCCTGGCAGATGAAGTCTGTGCCACAGGGGCTATTGCCTACCCTGCCTTTAAGCCCCAAGCCAGACAAGCGGCGACCGGGCTGGATCCTACCCGCGCGTGATGCGGAGCGATGCCCAAATCCGCGTTGCGAAGGAGGAAGATGTGCGAATCCGACCAACGCCGAGCAGGTCCGAGTGTGGACATGTGTGGCGCAGTTTTGGTGGAAAGAAGTGCTTCGACATTTTTCCTTCATGTTCTTTTCCCATCCCCCAGGTCAAACTGATTTCGCAGACCTACGCTGTTAGGTGGATGAAGAATCTTCGTCCGCAAACTCACCGTTGATGCCTGCGGCAAGTTCATCCAAAGACACGGTCAAGAAGGTTCGGGATGCTTTGTCACCAGCTTTGTCACCTTCTGGGGCTAGGTTGCAACAAGAACGGTGCTGCATTTAAATTTCTTCTTAGAATGATTGACACTCCAGCGACCAGCTAAATCCATTTAACCCGAAGAACCCTGAAGAGTTTGATCTGTTTTCTTAATTACACACATGGATTGACATGTTATTTATATATAATAAGTATATATATATACCATCAAAAACCCTTGCTGTTCCTTTTCAGGATCCCAAAACCCGGGTAGCGAAAACACCGCCCGCTCCAGGTGCATTTTCAGGTGGACGGCCACGACGGACCTTGCAACGTGGCGCTGCGGTGCCATGCGACGGACCCGCGCGCCGACGTCCGATCCCTGACACTGGCCGAGTGACCTGGCCGACCTCGCGCAACGGTCGGGTCCGGAGAAGGACGCAGACATGAAGTACAGCAAAAGGCTGACACTGATATACGGGGTTCTTCCTTCATCTCGCGATTGGTTAGCGCACAAGATTTGCACACGCATGGCACTTGCTGGAACCAACATGGAAGTAGAAAATTGATGAAAATGGCGCCTTGGAAGACCATGTTCCTTTACAAACAGACTTCCATGTTAGTGCCGGGGAGTGTAAGTCTTCGCCCAAGGTTTGAAGACTTGAACATGCTGAAAGAAGATGAAAGAAGTAGGTCCGTGAGAATTCTGTCGACAAGCTGTGCATGTTCCAGCGTCGGTAGCATCATGCGTCATGGGTTTACAGAGTCAAAGTCGATTGACGGCATGTGTGTTTTCAGTACCTGAGAGGGAACTTCCTTCACTTCACTGGAGCATTTCCTTCACTTCACTGGAGCTTGTCATATCTTGTCTTTTGACTTCTACTTGTCGATCATGATTCGTGGTGCAGCTGTTGAATTATCATACATTGAAACAGATGTGAAACGCACCCTGGCTCACAGACAGCCCGACGAGTCCCTCAAAACCCAGACTAGGCCCTCCGTAGGTTCTATGAGTCATCGGAACGTTTGGAGTCATGAGTTTGGGGGCCCAGGAAACTTTAAACAGATCCCCAGATTTGGGCAGCGGCGCTACCCCCAAAAGAACCCTTGGTTGAAATGCACAAGAACTTTGGTCCCTTTTTCAACATTTCAGATATTTCAGGTGTTCCGCTTTGGGTGCCTGTGTCGGCAACTTAGGCTCGCGAAAAGGAAGAAGCAGAACATTGATCCATCGGGAAAGTCATGGCCGAGCTTTCCGTGGAAAGAGGAGCCATGTTGAACTTTTTGAGTTTATATCCCAGACACTCCATACTCTTCCGACTGTTTGCTTTTCTGGTTGGTCACTTCGCCTGTAAGGTCGCCTATAGGGACGAACGAACGGTCCATGAGCGTTTAGGCCTATTGATTAATAAACTCTTCCGTGTTGAGGTTTCACACTCCATGTCTGGGGCAGTTTGATTCATCAAGAGTCTACCTGAAGTGGGACAGTATACGATATTACCCGAAGGAAGATCGGACTTTGCAGTGTTTGGGGTGCCGGCTGCAGTATGCGTTCAATTGGACTTCTCGAATAAACAATAAAATTGAGCACAGAACTTCAAGCTTTGGCAGAATCAACTGTCGCCACGCAGGAGATAGAGATGAGATGAACCAAATGGATGACATTGAGAAGGAGCATCCAGAAAACCATGGCATGTTGTTGCCTTGGAGATGGCTTTTCTCATGTCTGCCGCATCCAGTAGATGCCCCTGTGTCTGGCTTTCTCCAGAGAGTGCCAAATCATCGTGATGCCAAATCATCGACATAGTCTTACTAGAACTAAGGAGCTCAATATATAATATATGTATATATATATATGTATATATATATATACATTATTAGTTTCTTTCCACTCAATGGTGCTCCCCTGCAGACTAACATGGAACCCGTGGAAGACCATTTTCCTTTACAACCCACGGGGCTTTTGGGATGTGACTCTGCCTGGGGGGTATACTTTCAGGCATCTGGTGGCCAAGCAGCCCAGGGGTGGTTTGCGCGAAAAGCGATGGCGGAGTCTTGGACGTCAAGTCGTTGGGAATCCGGCCCGCAGGGTGTGCAGTTCGGACCATTTTGAGTCAACTTGAAGTAGAATGCGGCCCGCGGCCGTTCTTTCTTTTGAATACCCTGCAGGGTGGCATTTCAGAAAACACGCACCGACCGTGCATCAGATCTGTGAACGAGCTGGGCCAGCGATGCTCTCCATGTGCGCTGTGCCCTCGGTGTTCACAGCAAAACGATATTCAACAGATTAGATTGGTGTGTGTTGAAATAGGGGGACCCCCAACCAATGGGTAGGGTAGAGTTAATTCATTTACCACTGTACCCACTGTACCGGGGCATGTTGCCAGGCGTAGCTGCTATCTCCGCATGTGGTGTTTCCCACAATAGGATTTTTTTGGGGGCCTCCCAATTTCAATGCACCAGATCCTCCCGTCCAGAACGGGTCTCGGCGTTTCACAGCAATAGATTCAATAGATCTCGAGCTGATGAAGATGTCTACAGTTGATTTTCCATGACATCTTTGCAGCGGAGTTGTCGACATTTTCTTTATGTCCTGCCTTGAGGAGAAGGACTTTTCGGTGTTCGATCGAGGATGCAGTTATATATGCATGGTTCATTGCACTTAACAATCGGACATTATGGCCCGGTCACCCAAAGCTCCTGTCTCTTTCGATTTCATCCATCGAAACCGTTGGCTGCGCGACCGCGCGCAGTCGCAGTATCCTAGTCTGAAGCCAGAGCTTCACTGGGGAACTTCTTCTCAGGGCTTGCGATCCATTTCATTCATTCCGTTGGTGAAAGGATCCTCGGGCACCTCGGGCAGGCAGCTTGCGGACGAAGCGTTGCAGCTGGCCCGTTCCCAGACTCTCCATGGATGGTACATTGGGGTGGTTTCAGGGATCAATGTAGGCATATGTGTATATATATATATATTAATTTATACACAGTATATTCCATGCATAGAGCGTTTGGACTTGTCATGGCTTTGCTCTCCTCAACCATGACGGCCACTAATTCAAACTGCCGAAGCAGCCAAAGGCGTAGACGGTCTAGACTGCAGAGGATGAGCGGTCAACGAGATCAAAAGAAGACGCTGCCCGCTTCCAGCATCACCCAGTTGGATGGGTCTTGGATGCTCAACACCTGGGATTTGGGCAGGTCTGTCAACAACAGTCAACAACTCACACTGGCGGCTGCCCTGTGGATTGATCTTTTTTCATGCGCTCAGTCGCGAATCAGAAGGGCGCTCAGTCGCTTGGATGTGGAACTTGGATGTTGAACCGGTCCAGTCCTGGCGTTGCTATTCCTCAGGTCTGTGTTTTGGGGAGGGGAGAAGATGACTGCAAGGATGTTCAATGCTGCCAAGGATGTAGGCAGAAGTGTGGCACATCATGGAACAGCAAAAAAATCAAGAGGAACCGGCTTTAATGTTTAGCGGCCGACAGAAGAGCCAGGATGTGACTGAGATGGAGCCTTCCGTGTCACCTGTCACCGTGTCCTTCCTGTTTTTAGATTTGTCCGGGTGCTGCAGACATCCAAGACACAAGGCCTTACCACCAAGCAGTTCAATAGCGGCTGTTCAGGTATATAGGAGCATGCAGCTGTTCAATCTTCCCAACCCAGGACCCAAACCTAGCACTCCCCAAGTCACATGATAGACACAGAGATCGAAGGAATACCATGGAAGACCCATGGAAAACTCACCCGAAATATACCCGAATGGACTGCCAGAGAACACTTACGGAAGACCCGGCCATCATCAGGAACATGCGGATCTCAGGGCTTAGGACCTGCCATTTCTCGCGCCAGGATCGAGCGCTTTTGTACTGCGCATGTGGTGGAGACCAAATACTTCCACCGCTTGTGGGGACACCGGATGGCAGCGCTTTGCCGGATCCGACCGACCCCGAAACACCAGGCAGCCAGGTTTCGAGAGGTGAACTTCCGCAAAGATCGATTGGGTCGCACGAAGGCTTCATTTCCATTCATGTCTCCCTTTGCCAGCCATTGTGGTATTCTCTTGGGCGCAGATGCACCCTTTTCTTGTCCGAGTCATCAGTGCGGCAGAAGGCCCCATGCCGCGTTCAGAGCGGACACCTGGAGCTTTTGGTTTGTCCAAGTTGGACCCCTTCCGAGGCACATCGGACAACATCCTGCATCTGCAAAGCAGGTGGGTTTTCCAGTATAAGACATACACACACCGATGTTGTTTTATGTTTGGGATTTGTGATGCAGGATGGATATGCATGGATTTGGGTCAGTTTTTTGAATGTTAAATAGGGAGGGCGAGGGCATAGTTCTTCTTCCAGTGTTGCAGGATTTCGGAACATCAACCGTCATGTCCCGCACCCGGCCACATTCGAAGTTGGAGAATGTTTTGGAATGTGCTACCACTTTGTTTGAGGCTCCGGTCTTGCAAAACACACCATCAGCATGGAACACGACACCCAAAAGGCCACATTAAATCATTTTTCCCTACACAGTGTGGTCTCACTAGGGGTTCTTACGTGACTTGTCATGTGGGCGCGAAACCGTATTTGTGTTCTGACATAGGAATGTGCTTTTCCATGCTTGCACGCGCGTGCTGTCATGTGCTTGCTGTATGTGGTCTGGTGTAGTGGCTCTCATATGCAGGCTTTCGATGGCTATCGTTCCTTTGTTCTCATATGCGTGCTCTCTCTCTTTCTCTCTCATATGCATTTGCTCTCACATGTGTGCTCTCAAGGTGTCCTCTTTTATGCATCTCTCTTGTGTGCATACCTGTGCTCACTCATACCGGTGCCCTTGCATGTGCGCTCTCACGTGTTTGATGACATATGTGTGCTTTCACGTGTGTGCTCTCACGTGCTTGCTCAATCATGTGTGCTCTCATATGCGTGCGTGCTTATATATATATTTATATTTATACGTGCACGCCTGCAACCTCAAATGATCAAACATAACGGTGCATTCAGAATTCCTGTGCACTACACGTCTTTCAGGAAATAAGGCGAAAGCCCTTTGAACTGTACGTTTTCTGATTGGGTTGCATTTTGGCTGTATTGGGTTGCATTTTCCCACTTCCAAAGCTTGTCAAAACGGTAACAAATGAGAACATGCAGCTCTGTCAGAAGTATTGAGATCCCTTTGTGGGCCGAAGCGTGTGTCCCTCCGGAATGGCGTCCACCGCGGACGCCAGAGATTTAGAGCGTGTCAAACCGGCAGGGCTTCATTTTGTTGAAGACAAACTTTCAAACCCTGCGTGACCAATTGGTTCTTATCGGAGAATTCCCATCAAATAGCCTTTTCCCGTCCTATACATGGTTTTCCCGTCCAATACGCATCTTTCCCCGTCCGCTAGCGTCACTAGCGTACAGTTACGAAGCTTATGAATCATTGGTGGGACGCGTTAGCAGGTTATGTCAGAGAGTGGAACCGGATCCGTTTCAATAAGGAACTGGAGATCCGGAAGTTGAGCTGCAAGCGCAGGCTCCGGCCCGGGTGCAAGTGAGAAGCAGGGCCTTCTTGTGTGCTTCAAGACAGGACCGCGCGCTCAAAGAATTGCACAATGTTGTCTTCAAGTGCACAGGGCCCCTCAGTGCACGGAAATTTCCACCAAAATCAAGTGCGCAAAAATAAATGAAGATGCAGGTACATATGTGTGTGTGTGTCCTCTCATGTGGGTGCTCTTACAGACGTGCTTTTGTATGTGTTGTGTCATTGTGTGCTCGCTCATACCCCTGCTCTTCTATGTGTTTTCGCATCCGTGCTCTTTTGTGTGTGCTTTCATGTGCTGTGTGCTCTATACCGAGTGTGCTGTAGGGTGCGGAAGTTGGTTGATTCACCCTTGATCACCCTTGTTTTCATCTACTGAGTGTTTGGGAATGTTTGGGGTTTCTTGCTGGGACAGGGTCACCTTCTTCAATCGCAGCCACGAGATCGTGGGTCGCTGGGCATGGCCCAGCGCTCCCCGAGGCCTTCGGGCATTGGCCCTGACAACGTTCGATGGCGAGATGGGAGTAGGGGCAGCCTAGGTCGGCAGACGATCCAGTTGTTCGCGTGGTGGGCGTGCTGTGTGGTTGGACTGGCGTGGTATCGGTCTAAAAGATCACGGGAACTCAGCCCCATACACTTTATGAATGGAATGTTACATTGACCCCAGGTCAACCACCCCAATGTAGGGACAAATTCCATGCATACATATGAAGTGTTTGGGTCCAAATCCTGCAATTTGTCACGCGCACGGATACTTACCAACCTCTTGGACAGGAAGTCCTGAACATACGTTTTGTGCACCCGTGAAAGAGCAGGCAAAGCATGGCTTTGCGCCACCCGCAGCGCCTGAAAAAAACCAGAGTATGAGGCTCTATGGTAGACCAACGCTACCCCTACCATGCTGCCACCCCTACCATGTGCTTTGTTTGCCGACTGAGGCGATGATTGGTTTCAACGCGTGGAGGAACTGGTGGATGTGCTCCGCCAGACACCTTGCCAGCCGGAGAGCCAGCGGTCAGCCGGTCGGCGGTTTGGTCCTGATCCAGGTGCTTGTGCTTCGAAACTCACTGCTGAGACATGGTACTATGATGTACTATGGACATTTCTGGGTGAGGACCAAACAGACATTTCCGGGTATCAGACATGTCTTTTCAAGGTCCTTCACTGCCATCAGGCATTTCTGATCGTTTCTGGGTGAGAATTGATCATCTTCAGCGGACCTGCAGCTCACTGATCGTGGTACTAGCACGGCCTTCATGCCGGAGCCTGCCAGGGCACTTGGACTATAGACCTATTATTCCCTACAACTAGTATCTTCTTGCCTTGCTACTAGTAGCAACGCCCTTGTTACTAGTAGCGATGCCCTTGTTACTAGTCGCTTCTTGTTCCTAGTGGCAATGCCAGGAGCTACTAGTAGCTTCTTGCCACTACTAGCCTATTCCTTACAACTCCAAGTTGCAATTCGTAGCTTCTTGGTGCGCTGCGCTTTCGACCACGCCTGCGCATGTGAGGCGTACGCTGATCTTCGTCAACAGCGGGAGAGCCTGGCAATTGGTGTTGGGGCTGGGGACATATGAGACATGCCTTTACGCAGGAATCATCGCACATTTTGAAGGCACTTCATGGTTTCCGCTCACCTGGGATGAAGAACAGATCCAGTTGTTTGATTGAGGGTGAGGTTGCTGAAGCCTGAAGCCTTCAGGATTTTTGAAACATTTTTCAACCACCCCAACATCCACCCAGGATTGGTAGTATTAAACGACATTGAACTTCACCTGGTTGTGTAGTGTATATAAGATCTGTAAAAAAAAAATGGTTCGATGGCTGTTTTGCAAAAGCCATAGTGTGCATATATATATATATACATCAATGGTGCTTGGAATCCTAGGTCCTACAGAACAAACAATGGTTCGATGGTTGTTTTGCAAAACCCATGGTGTGTATATATATACATGTATAAATCAATGGTGCTTGGAATCCTAGGTCCTAGAGAAGATATCCAAATCCTGATCGGGTACTTATAGAAAAAGAGAGAAGACATCCAATTTATCCCGTAACAAGGTTCCAAAACATTGGACAACGAGGGGGCTCACAAATTTGACCATGCAATATCCGCATGCAATAAATTCTGAGCGTGCCGATCTCAATTCTTTGGGTGAAGTGCAACTCAGAACTGGCAACACTTGACTTGACAGCCACACACAGAATTCTTGAACGTCAATCGCGGGCCTTTGTGTGATTAATTGCTTCGGGATTTTGAGAGAGCTCTACCGGTGGCCTGGTGGCAATTGATGGGGGGGATTCAAAAAGGTGATCCTTTGGCGAAGGCCCACCTCAGTTCACTGAACCGGTGAAAGCATGTCAAAACCTTGTCCATTGATTACTCCACGATCCAACCACCTTGCTAGAAGGGTAGGACTCAGGACCCTCGCTTTTGCTGTCCAAATCCACCTGAGAGATTCACAGGACCAGGTGCATCCACGAATTGCGAACTCAACGGGTTTGTACCTGGTTTGTACCATGAGTTTCTTTTCATCTCCCGGCCGGTCGCCGTCTGCGTCTGCACCCCAATTGGCCCACTGTGACCTGCGGGCCCCTGTGACACTCTGTCCAGCGAAGCGGAAACCGCTTCAAAGGCCTGCACAACTGCCACACGCTCTTGCAGTTCTTCCGCGAGAACGCTTGGCCCGTGGCACGGGCCTCATGAATTTGAGCCACGGATCCCCCTGGCAGGGGGCCTTGACCGACCTCAGAAGGCGACTTCGTTGAGTCCGCTGACCGACAATCTGAGTCCAGCGACCCAGAAGCTGGGACTGGCATAGATACCTAGATTGACCCCAGGTCAACCACCCCAAATGTATACTATAGATATACCACGAGTCACAAAGGGGTGGTTTTTAGTCCCTGAGTGAGTGGATCATGGGCACCCCTATCCTCCAAGTTCGGCACCCCGTCTTGTGAACTTTGTGACTCCTGGTGTGTAGATGTATGCCACATGCTTGACGCATGACCTACTGCCCTGAACCTGTCACATGGCATGGACTGTCCGCAAGGTCGCGCGTTTTTGGATATGCCACATGGTGTGGGAGTGTGTTGGGATCGGAAAACTTTCTTAATCTTGTGAACTTGGTGACTCCCGGTGTGTATAGGTGTATGCCGCGGTGCCACATGTGTGGGGAGTTTGTTGGGATCGGAAAACTTTCTTAATCTTGTGGGGTGGATTTGTCCAGTTTCTCAGAGGTTCTCCCACTCAGCCAGTTGGGAGCCAGAACCTCCCTCGAGACGTCGACGTGTGGCCAACTGGTTCGAGATGTGGGTTTCAGGGAGGAGGTGCAGTGTGACGTGTGTGGGTGAATCGTGTTTGCAGAACGTGAGCGTTAGATGGCTTGCCTTGGAATGATGAGAACCCGTTTTGGCCCTGCCCCCCCAAGGTGTCTTTCATGAAAGGCCCACGAGGGCGTATGGGGCAAGAGCCTCAGAGATCGGCATCGCACGTGCCTCATGGGGGGCAGGGCACAGGCACCCCAGGACACCAGGACAACCATTTCCATGGAGCCCATCACTCCGCCGTTGAGCCATTTTTGGCCGGTGGTGTTGGGCCCCTAGATTAATAGATCGGTTTTTTACGTGCGGGTCAATGGAATGACGACTCTGGAAGTACGACTGAAGGATGCAATATGACATCATATGTTGATCAGTTGATCAACCTCTCCTTCTGGTGCTTTGGGTGCCAGCCTTGTACATTTGGGCATGTTTGACGGGCGGACCCATCCCAGCCCAGTGCTTCCGTCCACTCAAAAAACCGTGGGCTGGAGACCAGCCCACGTGACAGCAGCTGGAGAGTGGAGAGTGAACCCGAGAAACACCACATGTGCCCAGAACGCTCCAATCAACCCTTGGTCGCTCAAGGCCATAGGGGTTGGTTCGGGTCCGGACCCCCATACTGAGGGTCGGATCCCTCCATGTGAGGGTCCAGGAGCATCTGGGCGCCATCCACTGCTTTGGACATGTTTGTTTCATCTCTTCTCGCTTGAACACTTCTTCAGGAGGCTTTCGTCACGACGAACACACTGAAAAACAACGCAAAAAAAATGTAGATGGACATCAATTAGAAGTCACGCAGCTTTCGCATGCTTTTTGATGTGTCCGACCAAGTGGACGGTTTGCCAGGACCTTCAGTTCGTGACCTCTTTGGAATCCATATGAGTGACCTCATCCTGAGATCTCAAGTTTGGTCACTTTGAAGGTCCTGGTGAACAGCATGCGTTGCTGGGTCATCGCTTCGACACATCATCCACAACCATCCGTATCTCGATCATGTTCCTTATATATATATATATATGAGGGAGCGGACTAAACATGGCCAGACATTTTCGTCAAGCTTGTGACGAACATGTACAACTGGGTTCCCAGGCTTTGAGTTCCGCCTCGTTCCGCCTGCATTTCGCCACCTTTCGCCATGCGGATGGCGGCAGCTTCCGATGTGGCAGCGGCTTCAATGACTGCGATGCCTTGAAGGCGAAGGAGAAATTCAATTGTTTACCCCACTGCAAAAAAATGGTATAAAAAGTGTAATATTGTTACTATAACATGTTTCAAGTGCCTACTCATGGAATGCATAATATCTCTATAGGGATCCAATCATACCTTCTCAGAAGGTACTTGGACCCTCCAAACCTACATATCAGTGTCTCCAATCACCTTCTGAGAAGGTACTTGGATCCCTAGGGTATAAGCTTTATATTAATGGTTGTGGAAGTCTGTCCTCGACGATTGGTGGATTGATCCACGCCCACTTCCCTGTCATCGGGATGGAGAAGAGACATGGAAAGGAATCGATCTCACTATACTCAGAAGTGGGCCATGGACCCCCCCCTGCTTGCACCACTCTGTAAGAGGAAAATGGTGGAACATGGTCTTCCGACGCAGAGAGTACACTCTCACTCACTTACATGGTTACGTGGACGGCATGGTCTCTTGGAAGGCTACTTTCCTTTACAAATAGGATGGTTTCCACTTCCGTGTTAGTGAGTCGGAGTGTAGATCTCTATCACGGTGACTTCTGGCTGATGGCTGTGAAACTCATAGTCATGATAAAAGACGATAAAGGACAACGTGTGAGTTCGACATCACTGCATGGGAGGAAGGATCTTATATGCTTATATGATCATATAATATCTTATTCATGGATTATGATGTGCAAGGATAAACAGAAGCGAGCTGGTAAGCTTTTGGAGTGCTTACTTCCTGCTTGGTCGTGCTCAGGCGTCATGAAGGGAGCCGTGTCAAAACAACCACGATGCGGATGTTGTTTTTCAGATGTATTTTTGGGTCATTGGGATCCATGGAACCTGCTTTCTTGGATCCTACTTCTTGGTTGTTGCTTTCTGGCTGGTGTTTATATGTGTTGATTGTCCAATCTTTGCTCCATTTCGGGTCAATCCCCCAAACTGGGCCAACCTGATCGGCGCTCCGCTGTCTCTCCGCAGCCGCTATTCCGGCGCAGCCGGGTCGACCCGCCTCGGATGAACAGCACGGAGCCATGGCGAAGCAGACGGTGACGACGCGGGTGAAGTCGAGCAAACTCACGGAACAACATCCATGGGTGGCCGGGCGATTTCGTTGATGTCCGTCGTCGATGTTCGTAGTCGATGTCCTGTTGTCCCGGTTTTATCCCCGTGTTTGATGGGAACGTGTTTGATGGTAAGTGATAGGTTGAATTGTCCAGTGTCTCAAGCAAAAAAACCAAGGTGGAGATCGTGTTCCGCAACCTGGATGCAAAGAAGTGTTGGGCAGGGATAGATGAAACAACTGGTTGCTATGTTGTGTTTGGTTCCACCAGCGGGCCCTCAGTTTCCCATGAACAATATAGCGGTTTTCACATTAATACAAAGACCGTTTTGTTGGCTACGTCTTTGATGCTTATGTGTTGTTTTGTTGATGCAACAAAATGGTTTTGTCAGTGCCGTAGACGTCGTGGAAGACGTGAAGTCGAACAAGTCGTGTCCTCACAAACTCGTCCTGAGTTTTGGGTTCTTTGGATCCCAGTGACAGTGGATCCAGGCAAAGCACAATGACTATCAATGACTCATTTTACTCCACCTGGCAGTCATAGTCCACCACTAGGGGCAGTCCATGAGTTACCTGGACTCTCAGGGTATAGTAGGTAGCCGGTGGTTCCAAAGACGACCAAACCGTAGACCGAACCAAGCCTTGGGTCCTGACAGTGGCTGCAACTGGGCAGTTCAAGCAGCACTACGAACGCTTCTTTCCAGCGCCCTTAGGAGGGGCATGACACCTCGTAGCTGCAAAGACAAAGGTGTAAACAGAACACCTCGTAGCTGCTTCTGAGCATGCGTGTTCAACAACAAAAATTAACCAATGAAGCGCACATCACAAGTGTTCTCCCGCTCAGTCACGCCCAGGACTCTTGGGCAGTTTTGGTTCGACAGTGCTCTTTGGAGTTCGCCACGTGGCATAGCAAGCAGTTTCGGGCAAAAGTTGCTGCAAGATAAAGTGTTTGAGGTGCTGCAACACCATCATTTAAACTGAAACAAACAGCATACATAAGTTTTAGAACATTTAGAACAATGAATGCATCTCCATTATTGGCAATCAGATTTGTGATATTTTGAGTGCTAATTAAAAGCATAGTGGTTTGATAGTTGCAGGATCGGTATTTTGGATATGACATAACAACCATATACAGCCTATCATAGCCTATCTCATTTTTGAAATAAATTTACCCCTCTGCAGGGGACAACAGGGACCCTGAAAACCACTGGGTGGCAGATGAGAAGAATCGAACATGGCCTCGATGTTCACTGTTAGTCTGCAGGGAGCTAGGAGTTGATCAAGCGTTTTTAGGGCTACCTTTTTCTTATTTGCGAAGGCTCCAAACCTGTTTGGTTACGAGTCAATCACTGCATTAATGCAAAAGTGTGGCTCACTTCCAAGCACGCACGTTCCCGCATGTCCAACCCCAAAACAACTCAAATGGGATGGGACAATAGTTGCTGTTCCAGGGATGAGGTGAAGATGGTTTGAAGATTCTAGGAGCAAGGACGCTACTAGGGGCTCCTGGCCTTACTACTAGGAGCAAGAAGCTACTAGGGGCTCCTGGCATCGCTACGAACGGAGCAAGGACGCAGATGTTTGAGGGGTCGCTTATGGTCGCTTCCAGTTCCAGCTCTGGGGTCGTCGTTTCCACGGGCGATGCTTTGCTGTCTGAACGGGCTTTTGTGCTTGGCAACATCGCACAGGTTTTCCACATGGGGTCAATGGTTTTCCGCCAGCACCATGCGCAAGTGGTTCACAGACCCGCAAGTTCCATCCAACAAATCACCCAAACTGGGTTGTGCCTGGCAGGCATGTTACTTCTACAGCTCAGCTTAGCTTACTTCAGGATTGAGATGTCACCTATAAATCCTACCTAATGTAGACTCTTGATGTGTCTAAACCACCCCTTTGACAGAGGAGGTTCAATTCATGTCTGGCTGGGGTGTATGGTCCTCAAGAGTCTACATTAGGGGTCGACCACTCCTCAAGATGTGGTTAGGGGACCATTCAAGGACCACTCCTCAACATGGTTCTTCAAAGTGACCTTTTGATAACCTGGTTTGAGGTCACTTAAGCCTGAGGGTCACTTAGGAACCTTAGTAGGAACCTTCAACAGGTCAGTTTGAAGAAGCTGGAAGAGTCTACACCTACAAATCCTCAGAACCTCTCGCCTTTGGGACCCTCATGCCGCCCGCTGTATCCGAGGACTGGTGATCGCCGAGTTCCTCTTCGGGCGCCCCTGGCACAACGACCGGTCGTTGCAGCGACACCACGTGGTGAACGACATGAAAAAACAGAGGTGCTGTGTGGGAAAACGCGTGGTTTTCCGCACTGAACACTTGGCACAGTAGGTGAAGTTCCACGTTTTTTCAGTTTATACAGACCTTCAGTAGCCATCGCTTGGGGTTTGGAGTTATTTCAAAGGTGCGTTTGGTCAAAACCATTGCTACCGACGCATCGGGTAGCCAACTCCGACGCCAACAGGTCTTCAGAAGTTGGCCACCAAAACCCTACCCAGCCGACAACCTTTATAACCTTTTTGGAGGGTTGGTTTCTATTGACAGATCAACAGGTGGAAACGGTTCACCTTTATTACGACGAAAGGTTGCCTCGGCAACCTGGAGTTCAATGGATCCTGCTGGCTTGAGGGCTGGATCCTTCTCCACTTGATGTTCTACGAACTAAATGCTGCTTTTGGATCCATGACCTGGTCCCCATGTCCTGAGGATCATGGCTTGGGTTCCGGTGAAGGCGGTCGGGGCCGTGCTGGCGATGGTGCCCTTGGCCTACACCGGGCGAAAGAACCTGGAGAGCCTCATGAGTCGCCCGGCTTCGCCCCAAAAGCTTCTTGTTACTAGTATCGCTCCTAGTAGTAATGCTTTGTTACTAGTAGCGATGCCCTTTGTTCCTAGCAGCTTCTTGCTGCTAGTAGCTATTTTTGGTGGTTTAGGGCCAAACATGGAGTTGCCCAGGCCTGACGGACCCTGAAAACCATGGGGGGTTGTACTTTTATCATGAGGAAGTGCATGAAGTTAAGGTGGGACTGGGGGTGTTCAAACTCATGAAAATTAGAAAACCCATAGGAACTGAACAACATCCAAGATAGAAACCAAACAATCGGAAACACGTCAAATTAGAAACAACAAAGGAACCCAGAAATCGAAACAAAAGGAACAAGACAACCGAAGCATGAAACAACAGAAGCAGCAAGAAAGGAACAACACGGAAACTCAACCACGAACAAAGAGCTCAGGAATTGGGTCCTTGCAGAGTTTGATCGGGGGTGGGGTGCGCTCTTGACCGGGAGAGGCCGGGGTGCTCTAAGGGGATTGATTCGGGGGATTCAGAGCCGGTCTGACTCGAAAGGATTCCAAAAACGGCCAAACTAGCAAGCACACCCGAAGAAAAACAAGACAACATAGGAGTAACATAGGTATAAAGTAGCAAAAACATAGGTATAAAATAGGACAACATAGGACGCGAAATAGTACAACACTAGCTAGGAAAGCACTAGGCCGCTCGACCCCCGCCCTCGACCACTCCCCACCACCCTCCCTTGAACACTTACCAATAGTGTCCCTGTTCCGTTCGTAGCGATGCCAAGGAGCCCCTAGTAGCGTCCGAACGCTCCGTTCGTAAGGCCAGGAACTCTTGATTGTTTAGTTCGCCTTTACCTCTTCAGATTGCGGTATTGGTCCTTATTGCGGTATTTTTGCTTCGGGTGGTTCTTCTTGCCTGGCTGCTTGTTTTGCGTTCTCTAGATTTGTGTGTCCTATTTGTTGTCCCAATGTTTGACATTATTATTATTGTTTGTTTATGTGTTTCCTAATTGTTGTCCTATGTAACCCTATGTATGTTCCTATGTTTTTTTCCTACTTGTTTTTCCTCCTAATTTTGGTTCTCTCCATCTTCCAATGTCGAGCTTCATTCAGCTCATAATTGTAGTTCAACCTTTCAGGGTGCCGTGGGCCCACGTTTAAGGAAGGTCCAGGTGAACCGGTCGGTATATATTCTGGCACCATGACCCACAGCCATGTGAGAATATGGCTATGGGATGCTATGGGTAAAAAAAAGGGGCACCTAGGGTGACCAATCCAAATGAACAGAATGGATGTCCCGGTTTTGTCCCCCCTCCCCACACCCATTTGATGCTGCATGATGTTTTCTACTGTATATATATATATATTATATGTTGCTTGGCAATCGCCAATAATTTCAACAAAGCTGAGGGGTGAGTGTTTGTAACAAGCACCCTGTAGCAGCTGGTCACCAATTGATTTGGTCAGTTTTGACAAACTCGTGCGCCGGTTTGGTGGCCTATCAAGGAATATATAAATGGATCACTTGCAAAGCCTTTTTGGGGGACACCCCACTCAACAAGAACAGGTGAAAAAAAGACGATGGAAAAGAGGGACATGCACTCCAAAACGGGAGACAAAGCGCCGTTTTTGGGGTTCAACTGCCGTCCTTTTTTGGGCGGACGCTTGGAAAGGTTCAACTACCGAGGCTTTTCTTCGACTTTTCGGTCTAGCCATGCATGGTATCAAATCTTCAAAATCATTTTTGCTCCTTCTGAAAGACGCTTGACCCAGGCATGTAGCCAAAAGGGTGCATGATAAGATTCTGATAAAACACCCAAATAACAGAAACATGTTGTTTGATTTTTTTATGCGATGATACATGCAATAATGTTATATCTTGTTTATAGCCATAGCTTTCAATTCACGTGAAAATTACCAGTTCATGCCAGTTTGGCGAAGACGTCGGGAGAGGGGGGGTTTCATCAGCGTTTTTGGTCAACCACCCTGTGGTCCCACAAACGACCAGACTGCGAATCCGATCCTGGTCTTGCAAGTCGAGTTCCTGAGGTTGCAAGACCAGACAGGAAGTGCTCGCAGAGTTCACTAAGCTTGTGACGCTTGGCATCGTCACAGAAACTCACAGAACGCAGGGATTGGCAGAGTGGGGCGGAAAACGGCACAAAACGAAGAACTTCCGTTTGGGTTCCACCAGCGTCAACCATGGGGTGGCACCGTTCTTATACTATACCCCACACTCAGAGAGAAGACAGGATGATTTCAAGGCATTAGTCGTACCGGGATTAGAACCTCAGGGCATCATTTGCTCATATTTGTTCCATAGCCTGGGACGTCAAGACTTCTGGGACTTGCTGCCAAAATCGACGCACAAAAACCCCGATTTGGGATTGCTTTGTATTTTTGTATGTCACGGTGCCTAGGTTTGGCATCCTGGGCATCCTCATCCCTCCCGCATCCCTCCCGAGTGTTCCGGTGTTCCAGTATGTTCCAGTCGTTTTCCATGCAAAAAGGCCAAAGAAACGCGCCACGGTCGCGAGGGCCCAAGGTCGCGAGGCCCAAAGCACCGAAGCTCTAAAACCAAGCTAACTAGGTATATCAATGAACCAGCAGTTCCATGTCGTGGTGCCGAACTTGGAGGATAGGGGTGCCCATTATTTCATTCGCTGGATGGGACTAAAACTAGAACTGCTGGAGGCCATTGGTCGTCGGAGGGGCGCAATCAATTTATTCTGATCGACGGTGTGTCATTGGCAGCTAGCAGCCCAAGTTTGGTGGTTTTTCTGAACCCCCCTCCAGGTGGCTTCCTTCCGAATGCACGACCAACGTTCGGGTCACCTGCAGTGGTTGTTTTTCTTTTTCTCCGCGAACTTCGAACTGTTCGGACTCGGAGCTTCCGGACGTCTCCGACGGTGGCAGGAGCATGAGTGGTCCATTTCTTTGGTTTGGCCTTCGGTGCTTGGACTGGGAGCTTGGAGTACGAGCGATGATTGGCGCTTTGCTGTTCAATTTTGCCTTGTTGCTGACCAGACTGATCCTACACAGTCAGACACTTGGCAACAAGAAGGGCTGAGGGTGGGATCCTCTGCGTTAGCAATGGCAAAGTCAATGGCACAATCCCTCAATGGTCAGAAGGAGGCCACCTACTCATCTGAAATTTTTGTGTCTATATATTTTTCGGAAACCAATTACAACACATCAAGAGGCCTGCTTGTGAAGAAAGGACTAAAATGACTCATGAACAGAAAGATTCAGCTCCCACAGTCGAAAAAAGTGTTAAAACTGGTTCTGTGTGGCTGTGCTTTGCTCCTTTGTGCCATCATGTTCTGTCATGTTTACTAAACAGACCCAATTAAGCATAAACATCATGTTAATGCGTTTTTGCATTGAAACACACTGTCATGCAGCGTACATGTATTGGACATTGGGCACAGTTTCTATTTTTGCGGGGATCGCTATACTGCGATACTGATACTACAGTACATATAGTAGAGTTTTGTAATTTGTGGTGCTGCTGGAGTTTAAGCATTTTGTGATGCCTACTCAGGAAAAGTAACAAGGTCAGCGAGAAGGAGGAGAAGAAGAAATCCTCCAAGAAGTGAGAGATGAGAGATGTGACGAGGGCCTCGATATTTATAAACTCAAATGAGCGGAACCATCAGGACAAACCTTTGACGTTTTTGCGGAACCTGCGCTGATGGAAGCCTCAAAGTCACAATGGCAAATCGGGATGCACCGTGGATCGAATTCCATGCTTATTTCAAGCACAGCGGATCTAGAAAGAAGCTTGGCACCCGGCACCCGAAATATAGTACTACTGTGATTGGAGGACCCTGGCCTTTGGAAAGAACTGATTTTAGGGAGTTTCAGCTTGAAAAGAGGGGCTTCTGCGGACTTGCTAGACTTCGACAGTTCGTTGGTTCTGACTTCGACAGTTCGTTGGTTCTGCGGGGAAGATCGGCCGGTCGGACCAACTAAGCTGGATCCTCAGATTGATGGCGTCTCCGGTCCAATGATTCGAGTGGTGACGTGCATCCTGCCCTGGCACAGCCGGGCGGTTGGCTAATGGACCCCAGCGGTGACGTGCGTCGCCGAAACGGGCAAAGCGCCCAAACATACCAGGCCATCTATGAGGAAAAAAGGGTCCGGAATCCATCTTAGATGGAGCTGCTTCCCAATCCATCTTGCAGTGAAGCAGTTGGACGATCTTTGCGGATTGGAAAGGTGTGGAAAGATGCGAAAAGACCGTCCTAGGTGACATGATCCTACAAATGCAGGCATGTTCATGTCACTTCACAGCTTGCGGGACTTCTACCCAGATGGGTACTTGGACCTTACAGGATGTGTCTCTATTTTGGCTGACATGTGTCCTTCTTTCGGCCTGGTTGATGCCAAGATTTGGCTGATGCACAGATTTGAGTTGATGTGGCACAGATCTGGCAGTTTTTACCGCCTGAAATTCATAAAGTGCTAAAATTCTTGCACCGTGCGACTCTTTTCCTGGCATCGGCACCAGGATGGCATGGTTCGAATGGCGCCAAGCAGTGAAAGCAGAGCTTTGGAAGGACTATCGATGGTTCACAAGCCAGAAGCCGCCCCCAAGCAAGAGGCGGTGTGTGCGTGTGTGTCATTTTTCTTTTTGGCGTATGTGGGCCTGGACTGCAACGATCGTGATATTGAGTGCGGAACAGATGAGGAACGGACGTTCTTTCAACAAATTCGCTCTATGTGAAAGTTTTGCCCTGCTCCACATAAGTTTGTAAAATTTCAGCTCTAGCGTTGAACCCATTGTATATAATATGCGCATATATTGTATATATAATATTACTTTGATTTGCTTGTATCTTTATTGTATTGTTTTAAATAACTAGTTCTGTTACTATTCACACAATATCATATATAGTCAATGTCAGGCCGCAGGTGTTCCCCACCCAACGGCAATGGATGAGCCATGTTGAAACATGAACTTCGGTTTCTCGGTCGCACCCCCACCCGTCCCAGAAAGGATCCGCCATCAAGCACCCATCGTTTTTTGCCACCCGAAGCTGCACGGACGAAGCGCCTTTTATGGGTGTAGAGTTTGATGTGCAACAGCTGTCCCGGAGTCTTTGAGTGGTCCCAGAATCTGGTTGGATCTTGGTCTCCACGGCACGAAGCAATGAGGAACCTATTCTTTGGCCTCTAGAATTCAAACAATACCAGTTATACTGCCCTGACATCATCAAGGATCCGTGGAGTGAAGAAACCATGGTGAAAACCACACTGTTTGCCGTCCGGACTTCGGTTCCTCTCCTGGGCCCCGCTCACCCCTAGCAGCTCACGAGCCCAGCCCGGGTGTCAGGTGGATGCCAGCCTTAGAGCAAATGAATTCCGAGTGGGGAGAAGATCTGCGGAGACAACAGCTGCACCTTGGTGTTTTTTTGGTCGACACCGAGCTACCGAGCGCACGCCTCCGCCCTCAGCCGAGCGGGTGACACATCGAACTGGGAGACGGGAGCGGAGAACACACCATCTGTGGGCCGAGGGAGCTCGGGCTCCATGGGCCAACACCTTCAACGCTCGGTTCTGGACAGCCTATTGTTGGTGTTTGGGGGCCCGGATTCTGAAGGAACCATTTGGATTCCAAACGTCCACTCGATTCTGTTTGTATGCTGGGCTGCCCAGTCGTTTGGCGCCATTGGGCGTCCATGGGTTGGATCAACTGCGCTGGGGCACCCGTGATGCTGCTGGGTTTCCGGGAGACTTTGTGAAGGAAACTGCGTCGAAATTGCACAGGGGAGACCCCAAACCAAAGGGTTTGGTCCCTTCTTCCAGGGGGTCGAACTGGAAGGTCTCCCTGACACTACTCATTATAGCAATGTACCTACATTGGGGTGGTAGGCATGGGTTCAGTAGGCATGTATTCCAGTCTCATAAGTGTCATGGAGTGTTTGGGTGTGGTTTCTGGAGACTCAGAGCCAGGATCGAAGCATCATCAGAGCCACTCAGCTCCTTCCATATGCATCTCCACATTTCTCGTTGGATCCTTCCTATTAGGTTGGAGGCCATTGGCAAATAGGTTGGAGGCCATTGCTATTAGGGGGAGGCCTCTCTCTTGGCACATGAATACAACTCCACGCACCTCCGACGCATCGTTCCACTGCTGCGGACCTAGAGCGCCCAGCATGAACCGAAAGCACACAACTCAACCAGCGTGAGGGTCTGCCGAAAATGAACATCCCAGAATTGGTGGAAGGGAAAGGAGGGAAGCCTTCGTTTTTTGGGATAAAAGCATGGGTTTCCTGCATATGTTCCCTTGAACCAATTCATTGAGAAAGTATTCAAAATCAAACCAGCATCTCAGCATCTCTATGTCGACCACTTCTCCAAGCTTGGAGGAGCACTGAAACGCCGCACCCTTTGCCAGAATTTCGACTTGACCTTCCACTTGATATTTGCACCAACTCTTACACTCCCTCATCAGGGTGATGATGGCATGGCCCCGAAAAAGAGAACCATGTTCATCCACTGATCTCCAATGTGACTTTGTTCCGTCAGAGAGAACAGACACCTTAGAGGGACACCTTGGCAATCAGACATATACACTTTTTTGCACAGCAAGGGTTTGATTCCGGGGCACTTGGATTTCCAGGTGCCAGGTGTGGATTCGAATGGATTGGAATCTATTGGTGAATTCTTGATCATGAAGTTCTATCGTAGTTCTATTGACCAGGTACTTTGGGTGGTATTGGAGATATTTCTGGGGCTCCAAAGGTGTTTGGGGACGTCACTTGTGGCGGCTGCGAGGCACATTAGCAACAGTGCTTGTCTCAATGTCACCATTGATCCATGGCAGCATGAGGATTCGCGTGCGATGGTCCGAATCTTTCGACACGGGACCAACCAGTCCTCATCCAGAAGACCTGTGCTCAACACAGTAGCTTATCGTTTTTTCAGGAAGTGCCATCGTGAGAGAAGTAGCAGGCGGAAGAAGGCAGAGAGACACTGGCCGTTGTCATGTCATGAAGAGGTTTTTGCCTGGCCCAGACGCTCATTGGACCCTCATAGCTAGGGTTTTGACCCTCACAACTAGGAGCATGTTGACCCGCCAGTACCGGGGATTCGAACCATGGTTTCCTACTGGTAGCAAATGTTGTTCATCATCGGGGCTAGCTATACTCCCTGCTGGTGGTTTCCTCAGAAGATTATTTATGTCTTAAAAAATCAGGGTGTTCCCTTTTGGTTCATCCTTTGTTCTTTTCTCCACCTCTCACATCTCTACTGGTCGAACAAATGACATATTTTCAAGTCAGATGCTCCTCGAATATCCGGGTGTAACGAATTCTGCTATGATTTAGTAAGGCGTTGATGAATCCGTCAAAGATGAGGAACCCTGAAAGTACTGTATTTGTAAAGATATATATATAAGATATATGTATTCCGACTCTCCCTGCTGTGGGTTCCTAGCCTTTGGATGTCCAATTCCGAAGGAGTGCGGTGCTTCCAAACCTTCCAAGTTGCCAGGTGCTTTTGCTCATCGCCAACACCACCTTCCTGGGCTTCGAAGTCGACGATCAACGCTCCGCTGCTTCCGGTGGCCGGCCGCCCCTTGGTGACACATGAGGGGTGGGGTGTAAAGTAGTCTTAAAACCAATGCTCAGACACACCATGTATGAAATGGTTTCCTGGACACCCCGGTTCCAACATCCTACTGTACGGTGTTTTTCCTGATGCCATTCATGGCGTGTTCGGGATTTTAATGATTTTATTGGACCAGTTTTCAACCACCATACTAAGCCTTTTACTTGGACGGGGTAAGGGAGAGGTATATACATCATTATAAAATCACTTAGTACATCACTTTGCTTTGCGCATGTTGGTGCCAGCCCCTTTGCTGTTTAATGTGAAATTTTGATTAATTATAGACCTCCGTTTGGCTTCTAAACCCTAATAATCCTAATATGTTACCGTTTAATTAATCAAGCTTCTACATTCAGAGTGCTCGAAGTGAATGGATGAATTGAGACAGACTTTGCTCCAACCAGCCCCGATGCCCGTTGGAACGTGCGCAAGGGATTGGTGTCTCTCCCATACAGGTAGCTTCAACATCTCCCGTGCGCCATTTCAAATGCATCATCGGTGTGAAGAAGCATGCCGCCACAGGAGTCAGATTGGTCGCAAATTCTCAACATTTTTTTTCAGGCCTCCATCCTCCCACAGCACACCACAGCAAGCACGATGCACGACAGTCTCAGTTCCTTCCCAGGGTTTATGTCCTCATTGAGCTCTTTTTTGCCACGGTCTTTATTCTTGAGTGGCTGGTGCGGATCCATCAACAGAGGCGCCGCGGGGCACGCAGTCTCCGGAGTGATCAACCAAAGCCATGTCTATGCCATGCACGCGGTGGCTTTTTAGGGCCCACGATGATACCCAAACACTCCATGGGACTGGCATATTCACCTACATTGGGGTGGTTGACCTGGTGTCAATGTATGTAAAGATGCCAGTCCCATGGAGTCATGAAGTGTCGGTGTTCATACGCACAGTTCCAGGTCGTTGAGATGCTATATGACAAAAGACCACTCACTGGATGAGACTCAAAACTGTAAATGTTGAACTCTTGGCTCATCCAAACCCTTCGTTTCCTGGTCATGGTTTTGAGATCTTCTTTGGGCCTGGGGGGGTTAACATATTATCCGTCAGCATGTGGATGGAACTTTTGATCCACGGCAGCAATCCTCTTCGGACCCGTAAGTCCGACCGCGGACTGTGAACTCGGGCGGTGCTGACTGCTTGGCGTTTGAGCGTTGGACGTGTGGGCGTTTTAGCGCCGTCTCGTTAATGCAAAAGCATAGTCATCTTGTGAAGATATGTGAAGTGGATCACAGATGCAATATGATGCAATAGCCAACATGGAGTTGGAGGGATGAGGCAGGGTAATCAATTAATGATTGAACTGAATCATGCTGAAGGAACACAGGCAGTGGACAATGGCTGCGACTCGGTCCTTGTAGAGCTGCCCAAAGAGGTGCTTAGTTGATAGAGAGAGAGAGAGCTGAATCCAACTTCGCGAGGTTTGCATCAGACATGCATCCAACTCCGAAGCTTCGATAGGTGGAACTACTTCTGGGACAATTGGAGCCTTTGCCACGCGCGCTTACGCGCGTACGCGCCTACGTCGCGGGCGCGGGTCGTCCCCGCAAGCGGGGTTTAGGACTCCAGGTGGGGCCTTTGGACTCCGTGGCGCTGTGAACTTGGGGCTATTGGGGTGCAAACTTGGGCGGCAAACTCTGTGATTTGCTGGGTGGTTCTGTTGCTCAATTTGGTCCGTAAAACCGGGTGCCTGACTTCTGCATCTGTCTACATCATTCTCAATAATGGTGCCACCAAAGCCTACGGAGCCGTCCGGTCTATGGCCGGACTGGAGACGGACCCCGAACTGAGACAGCGAGACACTCCATGACTCCGGACTGGCATGGCTGTACGGTACATTGGCCCCAGGTCTGGCCCACCCCAATTGATCGGTAAATATGCCAGTCCCATGGAGTCTTTGAGATTGATTGCCCAAACTCACATAGTGAGTCTTGGACCGGTGGTTTCGACCATGTTCCGAAGACCAACCCAGTGGTTCCAGGGGTATAGAGATCGCACGCAAACCCTATGGATCCAACTACCTTCTCAGAAGGTACTTGGACCCTCCAAACCTACATTGCGGTGTTTCCAGAATCACCTGCTGAGAAGGTACGGCTTGGATTTGTAGGGAAATATATAGATCCCGCAGGTCACTGAAGTCTTGAACGGTGGCCACCGAACGAGGAATATTTTCGACTACACACTTGTCCTGGTCGGCTTCAATGACTGCATGATGACCCTGCTGCGGCCTTTGGCCGGAACGTGGCTCTACTTGTTTTGTGATCCTTATGTGCGGAATGAGGTGCTTGAAGCACCAAGCACACCACGAAAACACACTGAAAACAGACCATTTTCCAGCCAGTCAGGCTTCTTCTCAGTTGTGTTTGCAATTTGATAGCTAGCTATTGTTTGTTTGTTTATTTGTTTGTTGGTTGGCTTGTCGGTTTCTTTTGTTTCTTTGTTGTTTATTGTTTGTGTTTTTTGCGTTTTAGCTGCAAGATTTGTTGCACTTGCACATCAAAAGTCGAATCAAAGCACATCAAATGTCAAAACCAATGCATTGCTTCGGCCGCTTCGCATGTTTAGAATATTTTAGAAGCATCCTGACCTTCGAATGGTCTTCCAATCTCTCAGGTTGAGCTGGAGGCCTGATCAGGATGCTAGGTCATCAAATATATGTTAACTGATACTCCTGGAAACTTACACATTTCGTCGGGAAAGAGGCAGAGTGAGACATGATGGTTTCACTATGCCAAGTATAAGATATAGTACGATCATTTTTAAATACAACATTGTGTGTGGATAAACCGTTCTCAAACCAAACATCACCCACAGCAACTAAAAAAAAAAGAAAATCGAAAATAAAACAACATATGTAATTATGCAGGATCTTTTCCTGAACATATGGTTCCAGGTCTGCGAATCCTCCAGAAAGCTCAGCTCGGATCGCAGCTTCTTCGCCGAGGCAGCTCTCCAGAGCCTTTCGTGTCTTCCGTGGCCTGCGGGTGGCGCGGAGCGTGCGAGGAGTGCGGCGGCTTTCAGGCAGTGTGGGGAGACGGGTTGTGGGGTGCGGTGTGTCGGGGAAGGTCATGGGCAGAAGGGGAGTAGGTGTTGGGAGAAGGATCTTTAGAGGGTGTGAGGAGGAACCTCGAAATCTGAAATTCATAGAGCCAAATTTGGAGCCACAAAGTCTGGAGTTGGGTGATGATATGATTTGCGGCCTTTCGCTGCAGTTGCGACCATGGAGGACGAGTCGAAAAGACCATATAGCCAGTAAAAGGAGCTTGGAGGGGAACAGGTGGGAACCCGAAAGGCCAGAAAAGCACTGAACTCCTTGAAGCTTAACGCACAGAGGGCCATTGAAATACATGAGCCTTGAAGCTGAAATCTCCAAAAATAAGAACAAACGTGATCGAGTTTCACATGTTGCATCCAAGCTCCGGTCGATTTTTTGCACAGATCTTTGCCGATGTTGGTCGAAGAAAGCCGAAGAGTCGGGAGCAGTTTTTCCGTGGGGGAGAGGTTTCTTTCCCAGTCTTTTCGCCAGGGCGCTATAGTGATCCCCAAATAGATGGAAACGGTGTCCAATACATCTTTAGTGAGGATCTACTTTTCTATCTACTGTATCTGGGGGTCTATATAGGCACCTCAGAAGATATTAGATGGTATTAGGACCATTTTGAATCCTCTAAACCAAACGAAGGTGCTCGGAGCCCTAGGGTTTGTTGCAGGGTCCTGTTAGCTGATGTGGATGCAGCACCCAGTGGATGCAGTGACTGGCATCATGGGTGCCATGTTCTGAATGCCAGACAGGTGCTGCCAGTGCCCACGACCATGTTCGGAGTGTACCACGAGGAAACCAATGATTCGACTGGGCAGCCCAGTAGGTCTCCTACCGGGCCCCTGGTTGGCCCCGTGGTTCGATAGTGGCTGCCTGGGATCCACTAGTGGCTGCATGGGATCCACTATGACACTAGGGATGAGACAATTACTAGGACCCACAGTCGGGCTGGTTAATGGAGGAACTCATATTTTTTTAGGATTCTTTTTCGCGTCCTTTTTGAGAATTTGTTTCACCGTTCGTGGTTTGATAGCTTTCTCTTTGCTTTTGGCTTTTGGTGGCTTTTGGCTTTTGGTGGCTTTTGGCTTTC